CCGGATGAACTGCAGAAAAATGCTGGGCAGCCCGGGGCTCCATGCTGGGCTCAGAGAGAGTGTGTGCGTGGGGGGGAGGGGGAGAGGAGATTCTGCCCCCCACGAGTCTCATGAGCCCACACCTATTTACTTACTAAATATTTATTGTAATATTGAAGTTTTTGTGAACTAGAGCCCACTTTATCAAAGGTAAGTGTATGCACAGAGTATATCTTGTTTTGGTGGATGTATGTAGGTGTATACAAATATAAAATTACAAAATTTGACACATAGTTTGGATCAGGGGCATTTGGGGGGGCCAGGTGGAGTCTTTGTCTGAGGGCCCATGGTAGCTCCTGGCAGCTCTGACCCTGGGTATAGCAAGATGAATAGTATAAATCAACATCTAAAGAGGACTGATTATTTTATGTAGTAAGCTAGCACTCCCAAGGTTTGTTCAGACCATCATCATCAAGTTTATTGTATTAGCCATTGGCCATAACAAAGCATAAATACAAACACAATCCTTATACATCACATTAAGTTATCCCTTCACTAACTTGCGCTGAATCCTAACCTTAATCTTATCTTTTTTGCCGCCAAAGCAAACAGGGACATTCTGCTGGTAACATATACGTCCATATCAGAGAGCAAAAAAACAACCAACTTATGTTTTGAGAATCCATTGTGCAAAGGTAAAATAGGGTATATAAATCTCTGCCTAAGTGATTCGTGCCATGAGCATCTCAGTAAATAGTGCTCAATATCATCCACTTCACCCAAACCACATTGGCAGATTCTTAAGGCAAGAGGTAAACCCATAAAACGACCAACACAGACCATTGAAGGAATGGCATGGAATCTGAGGGCTGTAAATGCCCTTCTTAGGTCAAGATTGGTTAATTTCTCTAAATAGCCAGTCCTACAGTGATCTCTTTTAAAGATCTTAAACAGAGGGGCCGTTCGGCAACTTGCCGCTGCATGAAGGTTCAAAAGGCCATCCTTATGAAATACCCATTCCTTCAATTTGGACTTTTGATTATCATTGTCCGCTAAACCCATTAGGTCATCCGGAATTGAGTATTCCTGTAGGATAGAAGACAGATAGTCATTTAAATTTTTGGAAGATTTCAACAATAATCCAAAACTTTGGACCCCTAGGATATCCTGGGGTCGTTCCTGACATTTCCTCCAGTAGGAAAGAATTCTTACATTTGCCCTGGCTTTCAGCGATGCCATACCCAATTCTATCCTCATCAGCGCCACAGGTGAACCTTTAGGCAAAACCAAAATCCGTTGTTGAGACCAAATTTCATAGTATCTAATGTCTCCCAGGGCATTATGGAGTAGATCTTAAAGTTCCCACCTTCAGAGTTGCAAAGGGAAGCTTCAGCATGAGGCTGCTGATTTAGCACCTTTGCTGTGCAGAATTTGGTGTCAATAAATCCTAGCTCAATATAGAAAGTTCCCATCCATCTTTAGGTGTTTATTTGCACTATTGATCTCCTTATGCTTGTTATCACCAGCTCTGGTAAGGAGCGAGTCACAGTCTCATTGATTGGGTCATGCTCATTTGACTGCATTTTGAATTTATTTTGTTCTCTGTATAGCTTTGTGTCACACCATGCTTGGTCTTTTGGCTCCACTTTGTTAAAAAAACAAAAACAAACCCAGACTATTTTTCTTGTTATTTTCTTTATACTGTTTATAGCTTCCCCATTTAAGTTAGCATTTTGTAAAGGTAAAGGTAAAGGTTCCCTTGCTCGAAAGCCAGTCGAATCCGACTCTAGGGTTGCGGTGCTCATCTCCGTTTCAAAGCCGAAGAGCCAGTGCTGTCCGAAGGCGTTTCCGTGGTCATGTGGCCGGCATGACTAAACACCAAGGCGCACGGAACGCTGTTTCCTTCCCACCGAAGTGGTACCTATTTATCTACTTGCAATTTCTTGCTTTCGAAATGCTAGGTTGGCAGGAGCTGGAACTAGAGACGGGAGCTCACTCCGTCATGTGGCAACCCAGGTCTTGAACTGCTGAACTACTGACCTTCCACAGCCTGCAGTTCAGCGTCTTAACCACTTGAGCCACCGCAGCTCCTAGCATTTTGTATATCTAACCAAATGTGCTCTGGCCCACAGAAATTTATGCCACAGTAAATTGGTGCCAGATGACACACTGTTTTGCTCCCATGGTATATGGAAGCTCCCCTTTTAAATATCTTATAATTTTATAATTATTGTGCTGCTATTCTTCAAGAAGAATGTCTTTCAGTTAATGGAACTTTTGAAGTATTACTTTATTACTGTAGTTGTTTACATTAAAACAGCAAATTCACAGCTAAGTGTATCACTTCTGAAATGAACAAACTTGATAGTTTTACAGATGTGTATAGGTGACATTCATTTTATTGATGGGATAAATATTTAGTTTTCATAAGTTTACTTAATCTTCTATATAGCAACCTTAGACTCCCATAGTTAGACAAAATGCCATGATCTGCTGAGTGGGAAACAGATGCTATTTAGAAATGAAAATGTATTATTTCTCTGTTACTGTCCAAATGTGCCTTAAAAAAAACCTTGTCATTAAACCTGTTATTGTACTAAATTTTATAATTTTGTATACTTTACCATTCAGAGAAAATTAAAAATTCTAAATGAATCAAGTGGTCGTGTTTTGCATTTTTAAACAAAATAATAAATAACTAATGGCTACTGTAAATTAAAACATTTCATCAAGCAACCAACATCTGAGGACAACCAATATTTCTCAAGAATCTTATTTGTTAAGGAGTAATGTTATGCACATGCTGTCAACAAGATGGTGCCTTTGAATCATAGAATGTTAGAGTTGGAAGGGACCTTGGAGGTCATCTAGTCCAACCCCCTGCACTCTGCAGGAGCATAGCTGAAAGATAGCCCTACATACCTACAACATACCCGAAAGATGGTCATCCAGCCTCCGCTTGAAAACGTCCAGCGAAGGAGCGTCCACCACCTCCCGAGGCAGACTGTTCTCATACTGATAATTGAGATAGTAAATCTGAAAATAATGCCTTTACTGAGGTGAAGAAATGATGCTAAATATTCATAGTTGCTGGGTTTCCCCCGCATGCATTCATTGTAACCAGAATTGTACCCAGCTAAAGCCTCCTGACAGAACTGGAAATTGTTTCTGTTTGCGAGCCGGATATAAATTGCAACCATTTCAAAGGAATATGTTTCATAATTGCTAGCTTGATCAACACTACTCATTTTGAAATGCTTTTATTTCCTGTGCGAGGCTTCAAGATGGAACTGAATAGAAACCCTGAAGAGCAATATGCCTTGTGTTAAGTCCGGTGCTTAACAAAATAGTCAGAGAGTGATTTCAGCAAAACTCAGGTTTATTTCAGCTCGAGGATCACTTCTCTAACACGGTACAACTTCTGATAGCCCGAACAGCTTTTCCATTGCAGCTGCTCGGTATTTAAACATTCCGGGCTAATGTAGCCACTCCTACTATACAGTTATCAACCTATCAGGTTGAGCGAATAAGGACCAATCAGAATCTTTCCCGCTTATATACATTTGAACCTGATTGGTCGCATTAGTCTTGGACTTCAATCCCTGTTCAAGACGAAGCTTAACATTGCTTCCTTATGAGATGTTTCACATCACATCTTAACGTATTCATGGCAGCTTCTGAATACATTACACCTTGCCTCCCACAACAAATTTTACAAACTGTCTTTAGACTGTAGCTTTCTGTCATATATAAATACAACGTGTGTACATTATAGAGAAATTGGAATTAGAGAATAGTTATAATGCAAAAATTAAACCACTCTAGCTTTCAAAAGTTTATGATAGACTCAGAAGCACCTGCAGGAATTCCCCCTTCTATGAAGCAATCAAATGCTGAATTCTATTTATTTTATTGTCAAATTTATACCCCGCCCTCCCGGGCAAAGGAGGCTCAGGGCGGCTTCCAGTAACATAAATACAAAATAAAAACATACATAATATGTAATTAAAACATCACAGTTAAAATAATACATTACAAAGTGATATTTATACATTACAAAGTGCTAGCAGCAGTTAAAAATTCAGTCAGATGGAATGCTTTCAAATGGATTTCCAACTTCCAGCATAGAAGTGCTTAGATGTTATTCTGCTCATCAACTCTTATGGCAGCTGCTCGATGATGACATTGCGGGCCCTGCACTACTGTTCTAACTACTGTTTCTTGTGAAAGCCAGTTCTGCTTCCCCCGGAGTTGTTCAAAACAGGAAATGGAGATGAAATGTCTATATGTGTGTTTCATAGCATTACACTTGATGTGGTTAAACTTTAGTTTCTCTTGTGTAGGATCAGATCTGAATTTGTATATCTGAATCTGAAAAATGCTCAGATGCAAAAGTTTCATTTAGCTGCGATCTAAAATATATGTTGTAGAAAGTATTTATTTAGATATTTATACCCCACCTTTATCCCTAGTGGGGACTCAGAGTACTTATGAGATCATTAGGCTGAGAGAGGGTGACGCGGCTCAAGGTCACCCAGTTAGCTTCCAAGGCACATGGGGATTCGAACCTGCGGCTCCAAGACCTTAGCGTGACATTCTGAACATGACACCACACGGTACAGGGAGATTCTCACTAGGGACCTTAGACACACTGTCTTCCACCCAAATTTTGTTCTAATCTATGCTAAGGAATGTGATTGTTGTCCGTATTTGTGACGCAAAAGAAGAGGTCACGCTGCTGTAGCATTAATCGGTGTCAAGGGAGGCTGCTCGCTACGCCCTGCTTTCGCCTTGGAATCCTCCTCAAATTCTTCCCCACTTACGCAGCAATTCCCACAGAGGTCTTTTTAGCTCTTCTCCGGTGTGTTAAAATGAAAAAGACTGAAGGAGAAAGGAAATGCCTTTCAAGAAAACCGTCCTTACTAAGAACTTCATTTCCCAGCGTGCCGGCTGCGGGCGAGAAGCGTCGCGAGTAGGCGGGGTGACAACGCGGGCCGCCGCGTCTGTGCGCTTGGAGCGGAGGCGCGCGACACTGCGCGGCAGGGGGACTGCTGGGAGCTTAATGGACATGCCGACCCGCACAAGAGTTGTCTACGTGCTGGCCGCTTGCTGCCTTGTCGGTCTCTACTGCAGCCCCGTAGCAATCTCCTTGCTGTTACGGAGCCTCCCGGAGGACATCGGGAATGAGAGACCCATCCTTGGTGAGTTAGTGCTTTGCGTCTGCGGAGGAGGCTCTCCTGTTGGATTGGTTGTATGGCAGGGCGGGGAAGGTGGAACGGGGGGAAAAGTTCAAAATGAAAACATAAAACACCGCGCCTTTCACACAGACAACGCAGTCTTTAGCTCTCTCTGGGTCGTCATGCTCAGAAGAACAACTGTCAGACCTGTTGCCTAAGAAACAGGGCCCGTTGACAAAAGTGGTATTTCCTCCCAAGGCGATGTGAAGTCGTGTGCAGGTTCTTTCTGCTCAGATTCGGCTCTGAGATCAGAGAATATGGGCATCTGGCCCAGTTGAGAGATGCTTTTGTTCATTTATTTTTTTAAAATTAGACTTCCCTCGCAGGTGCTTTTGCTGATTTCATTTTGGCAGATCATTAGACTTCCCTCGCATAGCCGTTGTGGTGCATGCTTTTGCTGATTTCATTTTGGCAGATCTGTGGTGGTGGGGCATCAAAGACTAGTGCATGTTCATGGCGAACGGGTGTAATAATTGCTTTAGCCTGCTTATGAAAAATCAAACTAACTTCTGTGTTAATGGGAAAAGGTATGTCTGTGAAAGTCAACCCTGAAACAATACCTACCACACCCTACAGAGATCCAGCATCTTTAATAGGTATGTCCTGAATGTGGTCTCTCTTTTTTAAAAAAGGCCCAGAAATTTTTGAGAAAAAAACAGCTGTCCTAGATCATTATGCCCTTCCTTTGAAGTTGATGTTATTAGACCTGGTCAAAAATGAGATGGCAAGACTTTGAAGTTGATGATATTAGACCTGTGTTACTTCCTTATCACATCTAAGCTATTTTACAGATTTAAGAACATAACATGCATAACTTATAATTGTGGTAGCTTATAAAACTGTTCCCTTTGGTATATTTAGTATAAATGCATTACTTTTTGTTAAAACAGCAAATATACCCAATGCTAGAGACCTACAGACTGTTTGTTGTACCCTGTGATTCCGTAGCACATGTATCTTAGTTTTTGTGATCTGACAAGTAGGAAAAAATAAAAAAATTGAAACAAGAAATCATAAATTTGTACTGACAAGGTTTATTATTTGGATTTAGAAACACTCTTTAGACAGTCACCATGTTAAGGACTATCAGCAGGTTTGAATGTCAAGTCAAACTTAACACTGAACACATTGACTTCTTCAAGAGTGGATAAATAATTGTGGAAAACATCAATCATACCGGACACAGTAATTCACATTTTAAGCAGACATATTCCTGAAAACAATGCTGTAGACCAAGGGTCTCCAACGTGGTGCCCAAAGCCCCACAGCACCTACTAACACCATTCCTGTTTTTTTGCTGCCCACCAAGTATTTTTAGAAAGTGGGTGGGGCCAGGTGGGGCTTTTGCCCAGCACGGCTTCTCATTGGTCACTGGAGATGTGATTGGCTGTGCAAAATAAAAAAAGGAATTGCTTTGGCGGCAGCTGCGACTACAGCACAAGGGTCTTCACTGCATGACTGAAGATAAGCTGTGGGTATGCAAGGAAATATAGTTATATTCATTTAAAAAGGCATCCTGAAGCAGAGCTTCTGCCTGAAATGTTGAAGAGTTACTATTAGAGTTATGTATAACATCATTGTCTGATATTCTTTGGTTAGCTCTGCCTTCTGCAGCAGCCATTTTGTGGTTGCGCCTACTGCCCTGGGTCAGAATTCCAAAGGCACCTGCAGGCTCAAAAAGGTTGGAATCTTCTGCTCTAGGTTGCCTTACAAAGCGTTTCACTCTTTTCACAAAAGAAAATATTTAATAGGAGGTTCCCCACCACCACTCTTCCCCCAAATGTCTAGTTTTTTTGTTGCAAAAAAATGGGGAGGGGGGATTTTCTGTTGCAAAAATTGGGAAAAGGTACCTTCCATTTTGTCTTGGTCCATTGCCAAGGTCCATGCCCCCCCCCCCCCCGCCCCCCCCCCCCCCGCTCCTTGGTCCATTTCCAGTGTCCACCAAAACAAATCTTTGGATCAGGTATCTTGCTAGTGCAGCTCGTCAGAGATAGCTTCCTGATGCTATGCACCTGAAATGCTTATCAGATTCTAATTTCTTATTCCATACGCTGTTGTTGTTTCTAAGGTTTAACTTTTTAAAAACTTCTTATTACAGGTAAATTGAATGTTGCTAGTTACCGTGTGTTTGTACATGGGTTAATTTTTTTTTTTAAGATTTCCTCCTTCCAGCTACATCTCTATATTAAAGTCCTAGGATTCTGGGGAACCAGCTTTGGCCTTGTGTGCCATGAAAGAAATGCAGACTGTTCTCTCTGTACACAAGACCATCTGGCCCACCTTAAGGAATGCCTTCTTCCCCACGAGCCCTGTTCCCATCAAGAGCTCTGGGAGAGGCTTTGCTGCATGTACCCCCTCCCCCCTCATTAAAGGTTAGGACCAGTGTTCCCTCTAAGCTGAGTTGGTGTGAGCTAGCTCACAGTTTTTTAGCCTCCAGCTCACAGATTTTTGGCATAGCTCAGGAAGGAGGACTCCAGAGCAAACTAATTGATGCAGTAGCCAAATCACTTGCTCACAACTTTAATGCCAGTAGCTCACAAAGTAGAATTTTTGCTCACAAGACTCCACAGCTTAGAGGGAACATTGGTTAGGAGCATCATATTTGTTCTGGCTGCCCGTTTTATTGGGCTCTGTGCCTGAGATTTGCTATACTCCCACAGGCTCCCTGTGATATGCAGGCTTTTCCATCAGGGTGAAGGAACTTCTCAAATGAATAGCAGATTTCAGCCAAAGTATATGTCTTGCAAAATCATAATTCTGCTATAATAATCTGCCCCTCTCCTTAGATATGGTTTTGTGTGTGTGTGTGTGTGTGTGAGTGACTGCCGGTAACTTTAAAACCTTCCTGTTTTTAAGCTTACTAGATTTTTTTTTTTTTTTTTACTGTCACGGATGTCTCAGAAGACAGCAGTGCTCAGTGAAATTCCACCACAATGCAATCTGATGAGCTGGCACATTAGAATCCTGCTATAATTTTTCCAAAATTGCACAATAGGTCATGTGGCATAATTGCATGACTTACAAGAAAGCATTACAGTATAGTGTTTTAGTGTGCACCCTAGGTAAAGACTACTTGGAAGGCGAGTTCTACATCTCTTCATAAATATATAGTAAAGGTAAAGGTTTCCCTTGCCTGAAAGCCAGTCAAATCCGACTCTAGGTATGCGGTGCTCATCTCCGTTTCCAAGGTGAAGAGCCAGCGCTGTCTGAAGACATTTCCATGGTCATGTGGCCGGCATGACTAGACGTCGAGGTGCATGGAACACTGTTACCTTCCAGTCGAAGTGGTACCTATTTATCTACTTGCAATTTCTTGCTTTCGAACTGCTAGGTTGGCAGGAGCTGGGACCAGAAATGGGAGTTCACTCCGTCATGCAGCACTCGGGTCTCGAACTGCTGAACTACAGACCTTCCGGTCTGCAGTTCAGTGTCTTAACCACTTGAGCCACCGCAAAATAAATTGTATCAAATTTCCAAATTCTCTCAAACTAATACGTAAGCAAAGGTGATACTGATTTTCTTTCCAGTTAAGAACTACGCAAAGCTTCACTGCGTTAAACAGAGACAAAAACATTTCTAACTCACTTTCTGCAACTAAGTAAAGGAAGTAGATTTTTTTTGTAAACTGTCAGATGTAGCAATCATGGGTATGCATATCTCAGAGTATGCACACTTCATATGTGCTGTGGCATAATATGCATGCTGTGTAAATTTATATGCAGAAGAAATTCAGCAAATCTACATTTATCTCATGGAGGGGCTATGACTCAGTGGCAAAATACCTGCTTTGTACGCAGAAAGGTCCTTGATGTAGTCCCCAGCATCTCCAACTAAAAACCTTTGCCAGTTAGTAGACAAAAAGTGTGAACTCATGGGGGGGAATCCCTCCCCCCACTGCTGCCGATTCCCTCCAGAGGGTACCAGCTGCTGCTCCGGGCTTGGCAGCAGTGGAGGAACACACCTGCAGCTGCTCCAGCCCAGCAGCGTTGGACCAACAGCCAGCATCCTACTGGATGTCCTCTGCCATAGCAGCTGGGTCGAAGCAGCTGCCGGCAGGGCTCCTGGGCTGTGCTGCCACTGTCGAACCTCGCATGACTCCTCTGTCCTGCTGCTGACCGCCAAAGTAAGTGTGTCCTCTGTGCTTGTACAGAGAATGCCACTTTAATTTTCAGGGGATTTAAACCCTGCTTGGGTATTTCCCCCCCAGAGTTTTCTGCAAACCTGGGTACTGTCCCAAGTGTGCAGAAAGTGTGCAGAAAAATCTCCTTAGCCTCCACATGGCCCTGATCCATAGATTTAGATATCCACAGATGGTGGCTATGGGTGGTCAATATTATGTAGACCAGGATTAGGCAGCTTCATGTGTTCACATGTATTTACATGATGATCTGCCCCTTGTTGCTTGCTCTTTCTAGAAAGAGGTGCTGTCTGATTAGGGAATGAGTATAGTGTCAAAAATGAATGTGATTATTTTGATGGGTTATTATTAGCCAAGCACCACTTTCTTTTGTGGGAGTAAAATATTTATGGAAGAATATGAGAGATTCTAATTTAAGGTTTTGTTTTTGAATATAATTATTACAGTTCCCACTGCTGTTCTATTTAGTATATACATGTTGCTGATATTATTAACATGTAATAGCTACTCTTTATTTTTCTGGGTCTCTTTAGGGATTTTGGCACAGGAGACTGACAAAAGCTTTCAAAAACATGGAAGTTCTTATATTGCTGCTTCGTACGTAAAATTTATTGAATCTGCTGGAGCTCGCGTAGTACCAATAAGGCAAGTTCCCATGAATGGCGTACTCATATTATACACCACTTAAGACAAAACTGAATACCAGCCAATGATTTGGAACCATTATGGGAGAATGGTTAGCCTCCATTGATTAGGACCAGGAAGATCCAGGCTCAAAATAAGGTTGCCAGGTCGCTCCGTCCCACCAGCGGGGGTCTTCAGGGGGTGTTCTGAGAATGGGGGGGCATCATGTGATGTGCTGACATCATCCAGAAGTGACATCAATGCATCGGTGATATGGGGGCGATACTCTGCTTTTGGGGCAAAACTCTATGGTAAAAGCAACCTCAAACCATAGAGTTTTGCCCCCAAAGTAGAGTGTCACCCTCCCCGACATCACTGACGTCACTTCTGGATGATGTCAGCGTGTTGCACAGGACAGTGCTGTTTGGGGGGGGATTTCTTCCCACTGGCCAGCTGGTCGACAGCGGGCAGGAGCCCACGAAAGCAGGGGATCCCTCGCCTGGACCTGGGGAATGGCAAGCCTAGCTCAAATCCCTGCTCAGCTCTGAGGTTTGCTGAGTGACCTTGGGCTACCCACACTCTCTCTCAGCCTAGCCCACCTTACAAGGTTGTTGTGAAGATAAAACAGGAGAACTGCATGTGTCACCTTGAGTTCCTTGGATCAAGGACAGGATAAACAGTGTAAATGAAAAATAGGCCTAACAGGTTGTGTCCACCTTGAGGACTTGCAGTCAGATGTGAGCTGTGAGGTTCCTACTGGGAACTCATTTCCCAGGCTCTCGGGGCTGATTTGGATCAGTACCATGGGGAAATAGGGATTATGCTTCCTTCTGGCACCATTTTTCTGACTTGAAAGTGTCCTGCAGGAGGGTACCTTTCCCCCCTTTGGAAAAACGTGCATGTACCCCATCAGAACTATATGTTTATATTATACTTCTTTTGTTTTTCCAGACTAAATCGTTCAGATGAAGAATATAATAAGATTTTCCACTCTATTAATGGGTAAGTGTACCACTTCGGAACAGCTTCTTGATTATGGGACAGTGTAATACAGTGGAATGACAGTTAGGTCATCCGAGGCCCAGGCCCCACCCAGTCACTATAGGTAACTATTTTTAGCTTTTCTTTTAAAGGGAGGCGTTTCCTTCTTCCTGGTACTTCTCAGAAGTATGAGGGCTCTGGATCTTATGAGCTTTGGTAATCGCTAAACGAGTAATTCTTCAGTGGTGGAAAAGCAGTAGCTTCTCTTGTGTACTGAAATGTGGACTGAAGCAAAGTAAGACCTTGCAGTCAAAGAAAGAGTTGCCTTTAATAGAAAAGAGAAAAGTGGAATATCATGACATCTCATCTGAATTTTTGGATTTACTTGAGTATTCATATGTGGATACATTAAGTTGTATATACTGTATGAGAGTATCTGGTTGCTTCAGGGCCTAGCACAATTAGAGACTGTCTCTAATTGGCTGTGAGAGGGTCCTCTCTTCACCCTTCTTCCTGGGTCTGAAGGGCGGTAGTTGCACTGGCCAAGTTCAGAGCCAGGGTGGACTCGCCCCAGGTTTTGTTAAGTGACTTGCTGGCAGCAGCTCCCACCAGAGTTTGGATTGTTTGTCTGAAAATAAATGAATAAATAAAAACTTGTGTATTTATTTTTAAAAGTTTTTTTAAAATAAATACAGGTTTTGGAAAAAAATGTGATAGGCAGGAAAGCCTGGTAGTCACCTTGAGGCATCTGTTGGTGAAGGGAGTTTTTCTAAGCCAGCCTCTTATCAGCTGAATAGCATGGGGAGGGCAGCTGGGCAGCGTGCAACTGAACCCTCATTGCTGTACAGTGGTGGGGGGGGCATGTTGGTGGGGCTCAGCACCTCTCAGCACAACTCTGTGCAGGAAATTTAGATAAGGTGCCAGAAATGTCGTTGATGTCACTCTCACTTGCTAAATAATGAATAAATGGTTTTTCTTCTCTTTCAAAAAATTATAACTAGGGGGGGGAGAAATAAAGCCGTCTGCTCCAGATCCAACTTGCTGTCGCTTGAACTTGTTTGAACAGTCTGGATTTGTTTTTCTAAACTTGTTCTTTGAGAAGAGAAAAATAATAATATTGCCATAAAGAATATGGAGTATTGTCTAAAGTTTGTGGTGTTTGCTATTCTGTTTAGTTATTCTTAAGTGCCTGTTCTGGCTACCCTCTGATGGGTCAGAAAATTCCATGTTCTTTGACTGCAAACTCACGCTTCGCATAGTCACAGTTTAAAAAACTGGGTTTTGGTGTAGAACAAAACAATTGTTTTCAGAGTCTGGGCTGCATTTTTTCCATTAGCTTTCTCACTTGGGGCACTGCAGGGATGGTTGTTGACCAGCTTTGGTTCCTTGGCAGATGTCCTGTGCTGGGAGATGGATGGGGGAAGCCTCTCGCACTCTCCCTACTCAGGGGCCACTGATCTCCTCCTTCTCCTTCCCGCAGCTCTTTCTGCACACTGCGGCGGCAGGGGTGGCATTTGAATGGGCTGAGTTGGGGGGCCAGCTGGCGTGGTGGAGCCCCTGTGGCTCCTTTCATGTGCTGCAGCTGCTGTAGGCTCCCAGGGGCAGGGAGATATGGGAGGGGAGGTGGCTGGGAGGGGCAGGGCAAATTCAAGGTGGTGCATCTGCTCCTGGGAGCCTTACTGTGGCTACGGGCCTGATCCCAATGGGAGGAAGTAGCTACTGGTAGGAGGGACGGCTGTTCCAGGAATTGAGGTGCTTCTGTTTGGGATGGAGTTGCACTCTCCCCTAAAAAAGCTGCTTCATAGCTCGGGAGCGCCTCTGGATCTGGACATCATGTTGGAAAAACAAGTGGCAGTGCTGGCCAGGAGTACCTTTCGTCAGCTTCAGCCTTTCCTGGGCAAAAAAGATTTTGCTACTGTGGTGCATGCCCTTGTAACATCTAGATCAGACCACTGCAGTGTGCTTTACATGGGGCTGCCCTTGAAGAGTATGCAGATGCTACAGTTGGCACAGAATGCTGTGGCCAGAATTCTGACTGGAGTGGCTTATGAGAACTTCATCATTCCAGTCTTGTTCAATCTACACAGACTCCCAATTTGCTCCTGGCCCAGTTCACCAGCAGGTGAAAACTCTGTTTTGTTTGGTGTTCCCTCACTGAGTCACTGACCCTCCTTTCTGTTCATATGTCTGTGTGCTCTGTTTTGACTCTCTGTGTGTGTGTATTTTAGAGTTTGCTTTAATTTTGTTGTTGTTGTTCACCTGCTTGGGAAATTGAGTTGGGTGGAAAGGTGGTTTAAATTTTTTTAAAGAAAGAAAAATACTAACAGAAGAATAGAAGGCCAATGAGAGCAGATACATAAATGTGAAAAGGCTCAATTGTGTAACACACCATATATATATTTGGTGTCATCTGCTTGTTAAAATAGGTGGCCATGTAATCCTGTTTAAAGTTACTCTAGCATAAATCCATTGAAATAAAGTACTGTAATGGGGGGACCTGGCAGCCCTAGTTTGGTCATTTCCAGAACTGATAACACTGTTAGAATTAAATCCTGATTAGCAAGATTTAAAAAAAATCATTGAAAGGTTTCTTCATACATTCCCTTACGCATTGTTCCTGCTAGTTTTCATGCTGATTGAATAACACATAGTAGTCTAAAAGAGGTGAGGAATGTTCAGTTGACCGGATAACTTGAATGTTCTTTTAATCTGTCGTTTCTTTCACATTTGTTTTGCTTATGTTTCCATTGTTAGTATCCAATTTTAGCTGCCTTATGTTTTGAATTTGTAGTTGGTCTTTGGTGGCAATTCATTGCTGCTGGAAAAGCGATCACAACCTTTTGGTTTTTTTTAGGATACTTTATCCTGGAGGTGGTGCTGACCTTAAGACGTCTGAATTTTCCAGGGTTGCGAAGATATTCTACGATAAAGCACTAGAGGTCAGCTTTCAAATGTTGCCTGTTTTGGCAGAGGTCAGAAATCAAGACCAGAGCTTATATTTGCACACTGTCCAGGTGGCAGATATTTCGCAGGGATACATCTCTGCCTTATCTTTGTGTGCATGTGCAGGGTTCTACTGCACCCATAGGATTGGCTGTGAGATATAAATGCTGTGGTGTCTGTCCTAAAAAGATAAAACACACTTGAGAGTTCCACATGTCTGCTCTGATGGACGTAGGTCTTAAAAAGTGACAGTTAAAATAAGGAAAGAAAAAGAAATAGTATGCGTATGTTTGCAGGAATAGAGCCATGACTTCCTTTCTGATCTTCATTATATAAAAAGGTAAATAACAATCACCGCTAGCATTTAGCAGCAGTTTAGTATATTACTTATGGCATAACTCTGTGGGCTAGAGTGTGATGTAGAGCCAAGCGTGGTGCAGTGGTTAAAATGTCAGACTGGAATCTGGGAAACCCAGGTTCAGACCCCCCACTCTGCCATGGAAGCTTGCTGGATGACCTTCGGCCACTCACATACTCTCAGCCCAACCTACCCTACAGGGTTGCTGTGCAGATAAAATGGAGTAGAGGAGAACAATGTAAGGTGCTTCAGGTCCCTATTAGAGAGAAAGGTGGGATATGAATGAAGTAGATAAATAAAGAGATCCAAACTCTCTGCCAGTGAGGGGTGTATCTATTTTTCTTCCTCCCCTACCATCACGTCCAGTGCTATTCATAGGGATCTCCTGACCTTCAGGGGTAGAGTTTTTTTGGGGGGGGCAGTGGCTTTAGTAGAACAAGAGGCAGAAAAATTCCTTTTTCAAGAACAGCTGTGCCAGAGTTATGGCTTGCCCAAGGTCATCCAGCCAGGTGCAAGTGGAGGAGTGGGGAATCAAACCCGGTTCTCCCAGATTAGAGTCCGCGAACTTAACCACTACATGCACACACACTTCTCTACATTTTAAAAGAAGTTTTTGTTCACTGTTATTTTCTTCTTTATTACTTCTGAGAATTGTGTTCTATGGATTGCTTCTTTTGAAATTCTGCTGGTTTGTTTCCACTATTTAAAATGAGCTATGAAATGCAAATATTGAAGGTTATTGGAATGATACTATCAGATTTGTAACAATGTCTCTTACTGCTGTATCTTGGCTTGGCTTGACTATTCAGAGGTCTTATTTTCTTCTCTCTTGCAAATGAATGATATATGCCATCATTATTTAGTCTGTGGGTAGACCTCTTGCTAAACTTCTAGACACCAAAGCAGAGCAGGGTTTCCAACCTCCAGGCGGGGCCTGGAGATCCCCCACTTTTACAACTCATCTCCAGCTAACAGAGATCAGCTCCCCTGGAGAAAATGGCTGCTTTGAAGGGTGGACTCTATGGCATTGTGCCCTGCTGAGGCCCCTCCCCAAACCCCACCCTCTCCTGGATCAACCCCCAAAGTCTTCAGGTATTTTCCAACCCAGACCTGACAACCCTAAAGCAGAGGTGTGATTATAACTTAAGTAGCTTTTAGATCAGTTTAAGCAAAGGCTATACTGGTATAAATGAAGATGCCTTCCTCACCAGCACTTCTGTAGAACTAACCTGCATTCAGCAGTTATCTCTGGGCCAACAAGATAAGTATGTGCAGTAATCAAAGAATGTATAAATAACAGAGTCACAGAGATACCAGGCCCATGGTCAGAAATCCTCCGAAAGGCATATAGTGGGATTGAAGTTATTCTAGTAGCAGGGGTTCACAAATTTTGGTTAGTGTTGGCATCGCTGGTACTGTCCCTCCTCCACACAGAGGAGTCAGCAGGAGGGGTGGGACTTCTTACAACTTCCTAATGTTCCGGAAACCCAGAGCTAGGTCAAAGATGAGACTGTGGCCTCTGTTGCATTCTGTGCTGTGGGCGAGGCAGACACCAGGCTGAAATAGAGGATTGCCATTTCTGATCTGGCGGCCATACTTGATGACCTCTGGGTGGGAGGGCCATTGTAACTTAATGCAAAACAGCAAAAACCCAAATGTAGTTTTATTGATATGTTTAATGAGGTATTTTAATACAATCTAAAAATAGGGCAAATGCGCAACAATTTTTCCAGTGTCGTTAAACGCTGAAGCAAATACAAGATTAATTATTTCCTAGCAATGGAGTAGAATTCTGCCTGAATGTTTCTCCTTGTATTTCCATTAGCAAAAGAGCTGGAGAATTCCTTGATTTTTTTTTTTTAAATTGAAAGCTGAACATTGAGGGAAGGCACCTGCAAATATCCCTGTGGCTGCACATGATTTCAGCTCTGTCAATTGCTGTCTCTCTAGGCAGCTCCAGTGGGGAATATGAAAGTCTAAGGTCTGTCTGTATTGTTCTGTTTGTTAATCTCTTTTCTATGGTTGCTGTCAAGGCTAATGAGAAAGGAGACTATTTTCCCATATGGGGAACATGCCTGGGACACCAACTGCTCAGCTATCTCACTAGCGGAGAGGACCTGCTTACTTGGACTAATACCGATAATTTTGCACTTCCACTGAATTTTACGAAAGGTAAAACGCCTTTTTAAGGCTTTCATTTGCTGTTTTAGCTTCTGAAACTCTCTTGTGTTTGGAAGAGCATACGAAACTGGTATACATAATGAATCTAATGAGAGAAAAGTGAAATAATGGCTTGAAGAAACCTGAAATTTGGCATCTGGGGGAGGTGTAGTCTTTGATCTAATATGTACCTGGTTTGAGATGTCCTTTGCTACAGACCACCAGCAGCAACAGAAGTGAGGGTCGGGGCAAGAGTGCTCTCCTTGGTGGTGCGATTTGCCTCCGCAGGCTGTGCTAGAGTAGGAGTACCTGCCACCAGCACTACTGGTCCCCCAGTGCTGCAAAAAGAGAGCACTTATGGATGTGGGGCTCGCTTGAGAAGTCAACAGAAAATCCCAGTTAATTCAACAACAAACTGAATTTAATTTTTAAAAATGGGTATCCTACCATACTGTATCTGAATTTAAGGATCATATCCGTATGTTAAAATACATTTGAGCTTTGCACTCTTGGTCATGTGTGTGTTATGTGCCATCAGGTTGCTTCCAACATATGGCCACCCTGTGAATTAATTACCTCCAAAAGATCCTGTTGTTAACATCCTTGCTCAGGTCTTGCAAACTGAGGGCCGTGGCTTCCTTGATTGACTCAATCCATGTCATGCTGGGTCTTCCTCTTTTCCTTCTGCCTTCAACTTTTTCTTGTCTTTTCCAGTGACTCTTGTCTTTCCATGATGTGACTAAAGTACGATAGCCTCAGTTTAGTCATTTTAGCTTCTAGGGAGAGTTCAGGTTTAATTTGATCCGGAACCCTCTTATTTGTCTTTTTGGTGGTCCCTGATATCCATAAAACTCTCCTCCAACACCACATTTCAAATGAATCAACTTTTTTTCCTGTCAGCTTTCTTCACTGTCCAACTTTCATGCTTATACATGGTAATTATCTTCGTCTCCTGTGACACTCTGTTACACTTAAGGGTCTTTTCTAGGTCCTTCATGGCTGGCCTAAGTCTCAGTCTTCTTCTGATTTCTTGGTTGCATTCTCCCTTATGGTTGATGATTGAGCCAAATAATACAAAATCTTTAACAGTTTCAGTTTCTTCATCGCCAACCTTGAAGTTGTATATTTCCTCAGCAGTAGTCATTACTTTTGTCTTCTTGATGTTCAGCTGTAATCCTGCTTGGAAACTTTCTGCTTTAACCTTCATTAGTAGTTGTTCCAAGTCTTCACAGTTTTCACCCAGTAATGTGGTGTCATCTGCATATCTCAAACTGTTAATGGGCCTTACACCAGTTTTCGCTAAACCTGTATCTAAATCCAATCCAGCTTTCTGTATGGCATTGAACAGATAGGAAATAAAATACATCCTTTTCTGACAGCTTTGTCAACTAGAAACCACTGTGTTTCTTCATATCTTGTCCTAACAGTAGCTTCTTGTCCAGAGTACAGGTTGTGCATCAAAACAATCACATGTTGTGTGTGGGATGCTGAGGAGAACTTGGCAGTCTGTCTGGTGTACCAACCACCCAGCGCCCCGCCACACAGCCTACCGAACCAGCTGGAGGCAATAGTGGGCTGGGCCCTGGAGTTCCTGAGACTGGTAGTCTTGGGGGACTTCAGCATCCATGCTGATGGTGACTCCACCTCACAGGCTTCGGATCTGGTGTCATCCATGGCAGCACTAGGACTCTCCCAGATTGTTTCAGGTCCCATACATCAAACAGGCCACACACTGGACTTGATCTTTGGCATGGCAATGAATATTGATCTGTTTGCCATGGAGGAGGTGCCATGGTCATTTTGTCATGAAGGCTCGGTTGAGTATCCCAGCCCCCTCCTGTCTAGGAGACTAGTCTCATTTGTGTAGACTAATGGACCCAATTGGGTTTCAGAACACTGCAGGATCTGGTGCCCTCCGGTGACTCATTAGATGAGCTGATAGAGGACTGAAATTCCCGTCTCTCTGAAGCCATCAATGAGATTGCCCCTCGACATCCTTTCCCCTCCCAGTCTAGATTATCCCCTGGTACACTTTAGAACTCAGGGGGATGAGACGGGAGCTGAGATGACTAGAGCAAGTTTGGCAGTGGACTTGTGACAAAACTGCAAGAGTATCTTATGGGACATTTATGAAATCCTGTGAGATGGCGGTGAAGACTGTGAAGAAAGAGTTCTATACAGCCCCCATTGCATCCACTAGGTCTCACCCAGCACAATTGTTTAGGTTGATTAGGTCATTAATATCTCACACAGAGAGAACCGAAAATACTTGGAATTCAGCTATTAGCTGTGAGGCTTTTGCGAGCTTTTTTGCTGAAAATGTCTTGTCACCTTTCTGCCAATATTGATACAGTAAATGAACTGGAGGCCCCTTGGCCACCTTTGGATTTTGATCTTTGACAGCTTCAGCCAGCTCTCCCGAGCCAATGTCGACATGATCCTGGGTGCTGTTAAGCCGGCCATATGCCTCCTAGACCTGTGTCCCTCATGGCTGGTGAAAGCTGGCAGTGGAAGGATATGGCTGTGTGAGGATACTGGTAGACATTATCAATCTGTCCCCAGATTTGGGGGTCTACCCAGGGGGACTGAAGGAGGCTGTGGTCATACCACTCTTGAAAAGCTGACTGGATCCTTTCAATCCCTCCAATTACCGCCCGATTTTGAATCTTTCATTCCTGGGCAAGGTAATTGAGAGAATGGTTGCACATCAGCCCTGGATGTTTTCCAGTCTGGGACAGAGACGGCTTTGGTCGCCCTCATGGATGAGCTCCACAGGCAGCTGGACTGAGGCAGATTGGCACTGCTGGTGTTATTGGATCTCACAGCAGTGTTCGATACAGTCAGCCATGATCTCTTGACCCACTGTCTCACTGATATAGGAGTTTGGGGGTGGGGAGTCTTGCAGTGGCTTATCTCATTTCTCCAACGTTGGGGACTGGGAGAGAGGGTATTGCCTAGGTACCCCTTAGTATTTGGGGTCCCACAAGGGGCAATCCTCTCCCCGATGTTCTTTAACGTTTACATGCACCGCTTTGCCCAGCTGGTGTGGAGGTTCAGGCTGGGGTGTCATCAGTATGCTGATGACACCCAGCTTTATCTGCTGATGGACAGCTGGCCAGATACCGCCCCAGAAAATCTGGCAAAGGGTTTGGAGACTGTGGTTGGATGGCTAAAACAGAGCCGGCTGAGACTGAATCCTTCTAAGACGAAGGTTCTATGGCTGGACCAGGGAGATTCTGGTTTGGGGTGCCAACTCTCAGCCCTTGATGGTGTGCCCCTGAGACCAGCACCCTCCATCAGGAGTCTGGGTGTGATCCTGGAAGCCTCCTTCACAGTGGAGGCCCAGGTCACAAAGGTGGCCAAAGTGGCATTTTTTAAATCTGCGCCAGGCTAGGCAACTGGCCCCCTATCTGTCTCACCCCAACCTAGCCACTGTAATCCATGCAGTGGTCACTGTTGGATTACTGTAACTTGCTCTACATGGGTCTACCTTTGAGGCTGACCTGGAAACTCCCAACTGGTATAAAATGCATCAGCATAGGTCCTTACAGGGATGCTGTGCACAGCTTATATTCATCCTGTGCTATGTGAGCTGCATTGGCTTCCGGTGAAGTACTGGAACAGAGTCAAGGTTATGGTGTTGACCTTTAAGGCCATTAATGGTCAGGGACTTACATACCTTCAGGACTGCCTGAAGGTATGTAGTATGTGTGTCTCCTATTGGTCAGTGTCTAGAACATCATCAAAGATGATTGATAACTCCTCTCCCACACAAGGTCTTTATGAATGTCTAAGTACTTCTGTTGTGTTTCATTGGCCTTTTAGGAACATCTTTAGAGATGGAGCACTCACTTGTATGTACTGAAGTTTTGGAAGCACCATAAATCTCTTAAAGAAATGTGACTGAATAAGCAAAGCTCCTCCCACATATTAATACCCCACCATTGTTCAGATTCTACTTTTATATATTTGAAACCTGATGTTCTAGAACATTATGGTGGACATCCTTTCCTCTGCTCTGTTTCTTTTTTAAAAGAGTATGTAGCTATCTCCCTGCAACAATAGTAGTTTATCTCTGTTAATTGTAGATGTAATATAGCTTCATTATTTCTGGATGTGTTTTAGAATGAGCATGGATGCAAGGATGTAAGATCTTATTGTTTTAGTGTGAGCATTGATTCAAGAGCACAGATTGTAGGAAAAGTATGTGTATGAGAGAGAGACAAAGAGGGTTTAAAAGGTCTCGAACTAAATCTTGTTGCTGCTGTTTCTTAGGACAGCTGTATCTGTTCTCTACTGTGATCTCCTTGGCTTGGATCCAGTAATAAGTCTGTGCAAGGATCTCCTTTCTTCTCAGCTTTCCCTTCCTCACAGCAGCCCAAAGTTTCTTCTTGTGGTCATGGAACCTATAGCTGTGTGGGTCAGGAGGCTGCAGTGGGGCTGGGGCAAAATTCCTCCTTTCTTCCTCTTCCCTTGCAGGAGCTCTACCCATGCCAGAAAGAGAGATTTCATTCCCTTCCCCCCTCCTCATTCCATCCTCTGACCCTCATGGCCTCATGCAGGTCCTGCAATCCTTGTACTAAATTTTCCCAGGGCTGCTGGGGGCGGGGGTGGAGAGAAAAAGCTGGAAAAACCAACAGCACCTTCTGCTAACAGATTGTGGGATCACACCCCTTTAGTAGATGTTAAATATATTCGTAATGAATTCCACTAGAATGTGAGAATAAGGGTGCTCCTGTATATTCATTGCTTAACAGTGGAGTGCAATAAACATTTAGCAAGAGATGTAAGGTTTGGTGTGGTTTCAGCCAGTACCATGTGTGCTTAATGACAGGAGACTATTTGCTGTATTGGACAGTATCTGTGATTTCTGCTCTTTCTGATGTGACTTTCAGTCTTGGATAAATTTAGTTTTCCATCCTGAGCAGACTGCACAGCTAAATAAATGAATGGATACCCTGCCAATGACAATTATTACCTTTTTTGGTCGAAGTTGCCAAAGACAGCAAGATGTTTGCCAATTTCCCTGATGACTTGCTGCAGGAGATGGCTTCTGAGCCTGTGACTTCAAACTTCCATTTCTGGAGCCTCTCTGTGCAGGTAATTGTGTGTGTTTAAGAGAGTGGTCAAGAATAAAATTGCACAGTTAAATGTGGATTTAAATTATATATACTTTCTTCTCTTGCAGAATTTTTCAACCAATGAGATATTGCGCCATTTCTATAAGATCTTGACAACTAATGTCCATGACAATGTATTGTTTATATCCACCATGGAAGGTAATAGTTGTATCAGCATTTACGTTCTAACCATTACCAGATATTGCAGCCTATAGGTCAGTATCTGATAACCCAAAACACATGACATCATTGTATTAGAACTGTCCTTATTCCTGCCAGGAAGTGATTTGGAGGGCAGTGATGATGTCATGCCATGCGTTTTTCATGACTCAGTGTTTTCAGGGGAAGTAGGAGGCAGAGAAGAGTCAGGCCTGCTGCTTTCATTGGCCACCATGTGATTACCATACCATGGATGTTACCCCCCCACCTTGCTGGGAAACATGCTGTAGAGCTTCCCTAGACCCCAGAGCCATGTGCAGCCAAAAGTGCGGGGAATTCCATGTTGCATCCAATCAGAGAATCATAAGAAGGCTACATGTAAGTAAAGATTATTGTAAGAGGAAAAGGCAAGGGAAGGCTGTTCAACACCCTCATCTAGGATCCTTCCTGTGGCTCTCTGAAGCCCCAATCACCCAGGCCATGATGAACAACTTGCAGGATAATAACTTGGCATTCCTTTCCACTCAAGGGCATCCTGCATAATGCAGATGTGCCCAGAACCCGATGCATCAGCATCCCCCTGGGAAGTCACGTCCATAATTTTAGTGGTACAAATACCCCTTAGGGTTTGTTTTTCTGGCACTAGCAGGAAAAGGGGTACAAAAGGAACTCCAGTGGCCCCAGCATTTTGAATTGGTTTTCTTCCCTGGACCATTTTCTGCCACTGACATGACTGACATGAGATGATGCACCCTCCTCAGGACAGGCAGAGTATGACCTAGTAAGGTGTTTATAATATTCTGGTTATTTTGTGGGTGGAAGAACTTGACATTGATTGGAGAGGATTTTGTTGCTAAACATAATTTTATGTTCACATTTTGCCGTATATCTTGAATATGCATATGCTACCGGTATAAATTACCTCTGTGCACTTTTGAAGCAAGCAAAGACATTCTTTGCTCCAAGGAGCTCACAGATTTAACAACTGAGCCCTAGGCAAGTTAAAGTGCATGCCACCAAGACGTTAGGTGGGACTGTTCAACTATAACTAGGTGGCTTTCAGCAGCTGTTCTGTCTTAGCTTCCATCTGCATCATAGAAATGGAATATGGACCTACTTTATAGGGTTGTTGTCAGAATTACAGCAAGATATTGTACGGAACTACTTTGAATTCTCTGTAGCACTATATAAAGTCTTCATCTTGTTTATATTAATGAAAAAATATATTGTTTTTCTAGCTTATTCATACCCATTGTATGGTGTCCAGTGGCATCCAGAGAAAAATCCATTTGAATGGAGGAATGGAACAGGCATACCACATTCTCGAGCAGCTGTGAAAGTAACGTATTACATCGCTGACTTCTTAGTTAATGAAGGTATGGAGTTTTTGTAAAGACTAAATATTTTAGGTTTGTAGATGAATGTAAAGAATTTGCATTTGATTCGGAAAGGAGAGATGTTTATAAGCTTTAAACTCATTGCTATGTGCTGAGCTAAAAGGAAAATTTAAATGAAATAGTTAAGGGACAAAACAACCACCTTAAAAGCTAACAAAATTATTCCAATAGGACCTTTTGAGGGCCAGAGTCTGCTTCATCAGATGTATGATACATCCAAATTTTCTGAAAGAGGGAGTAGTAGGCCAGAGACTACTGTTTTGTTTATAAGGTACAGGGTCTATGAACACATAGATCCGATCAATAAAACTGAAGAATTTTAAGCTGCTGTTGGCTGGGTGGCTGGCTGGTTATCTTTACTTGCAGTCCCTGATTGCTTGTGCTGTTGAAGTCAAGAGAACCAGTCTGTAGAAACTTCTGCCACAGTCTCAAACTTATTCTGGTACTGTTCCCTTTGATACTGTTACAGTCTAAACTCCTGTATCAATGCTGATTTCAGTAGAAATTTCCAAGGTAAGTCACTCTGTGTGCAGTTGTGTCACAGAAGATGCACTTTAATAGGGATGGGCACGAACCAAACCACGAAGCAAAATTTGTCACAAATTTTGCCCTGTTCATGATTTGGAAACCAAAGTTCACGACAGGTCTACCATTACAAATTTCCACAAAATGTTAGATCTAATTATACCATTTGTACCAGAATTATTTCTATTAAATATTATTCCAGAGAATTTTAAGAAATCACATACATATATGATTATACATGTTGTAACTATGGCTAGGACTTTGTATGCAAAGTATTGGAAAAAAGAAGTCCCATCAAAAGAAGAAATAATTTACAAACTGCTGGAATCAGTGGAAATGGATAAATTAACTTTGCTGTTACAAGACAAAAAAGAAGAAATTTTTTACAAGAACTGGTCAAGACTCTATAGATGGATTGAGGACTACCTTAGAAAATGTGTAACATAATTATTAAGATATAAGCTCAAATTTTTAAATGATTAAATGGGTTTAGGTGTATAAGAGACTGGTTCTTTCCATGTAAATTTAAGTAGTTATTTTGCTCCATGCTCCATGTATGTTATGTGTTAGTTTCTTTCTGTTTGTAGGTATTGTCTTTCTTTTCTTTTACCTTGAAAACTAATAAAATCTTTTAAAAAAGAAAAACAAATTTCCACAAACTTTTAAAACAGACTGTGGATGTTCATGGCAGTTCGTGGATAGAGCAGAAAGCCGGTGTTGAAAGGGACTCCAAGTCCCTTTAAACCTCTGCTTTCTGTTCCCCACGAAAGCTGCAAAAGCAGCTAAGCGGAGGGAGTAGCCTGCTCCCCGCTGCTTAACTGTTTGGGACTGTCTTGTGCACTCCCTTTAAACTTTAAAGGGAGTGCACAAGAAAGCCTGAAAAACAGCTGAACACCTGCTCCCGGCACTCAGCTGTTTTTTGGGCTTTCTCCAACCCGCCCTTTAAAGGTACTGTGGTTAGGGCTAGGTTAGGGACTGCATTTTTCTGGTTTGTGCCTGCCCATACTCTATATTTATTTATTTTATTAAATTTATGAATCGCCCACCCTGCAGAGCAGGCTCTGGGCAATTTACAACACTATAAACCCAAAGAAAGGAAGCTTTGTGTATGCAAAGCTACTTCCAGGGGTTCCTTTGAAGAGGTGACCAGGAAGTCCTTTCATAGACAGGGCTTGGACTGTAGCAGCTTGTATCAGATCAGGGTTTTACCTTGAGGATGGAAGGTCTTAGAGTTTGTTCTTATATTTACAGTCTTATAGATTTGGTCTTATTAATAGCACTGAAGTAACCTATATTTATCAAATGTTTTCCAGCCCGGAAGAGCAACCATCGCTTTCCCAGCAAAAAAGAAGAGACAGAGGCACTGATTTACAATTTTAACCCTGTTTTCACTGGGACATTTTCTTCATTTGAGCAGGCTTATTTTTTTGACTAAGTCCTCAGAGGTCCTCTGGCAGAGATCATTTTGAAATTCTTCGGCATCGGTATGTTTTGGAAAATGAATGCAAAGCATTGCAAATAGCAAGAATGCAGGTGACTTATCATTCCTTCTAAAATTATTTTTCTCACGTTCTCTGTAGAATTACACTTCTTGTTTTCAGTTTCTAGGAAGGATCTCTGTTGAAAGCCCCAGTGAAATAACTGGGAAGCTGTGCAAGTACATCGTGATCAATGAGACATGTGTAGGAGAATTTCCCTGGGGACCGTACCCCAAATCCTTATTCACAAACAGAGAACAACACGTGGTAGAGTCTGTTCTTGCACAAATCCCATGGATCAGAATGAGACACAAGCAGCACTTGGGTGGTTTGTGCTCATAGCCTATAATCTGCAAACCACACAGTTCCTGTACGCATTGCGGAAGTTTCCACCCTCCAAAGGGGGAAAGATCAGAGGAATCCATCTAATGGCCCTGTGTACAGGAATAGGCCCTTCTTCTGCCATGTGCTGGTGGTAAACGACAGAGCTGACCTTTGTCCTGGTTTAGTTCATGGTATACAGTTTGGTTTGTTCATTTTCAGCATCTCTCTGTAATTGCACTGTTAGCTCCCCCCCCCCCCCCAATTCATGTTACAGTGAAATGGAATTCTTTTTAGAGACAGAGGATCTTAATTGTAATGTTTCTGTTCATGTAAAACTGTATGTTTAGTGACTTGATAAGAAAAATTCTCAGGTAATCACCCTTTTTACAAAGGACGTCTTCGGAAATACAAAAGGGAGACAGTTTTTGCACACACTGAGCCATCTACTGGGAGTCTTTATATCGCCTCCTCTTGCTTTCTCTGCCTGCTCCACCAAATTTGTGTAGACAAATCTGCAGTTGAATTTCCCCTCCCTCATGCCATCTGTACTTGACCCCAGTTAGCAGGGTGCTTCTAATGCTGCTAATTGGGATGCGTTTCTTCAGCAAAGCTTTCCCTGAATAACACTGGCTTAATTTTTTTTAATACTTAGTAACTTGCTTTTCTGATAGAGACCTTCCAGTGCATGGTTGCTGTCCTTGGGCTTTCCCTCTGAGGTACTAATCAGCTCCACTGGACAGAGCTTCTTCATTGTTGAGCACTGGCCTTAGGAGTCTCTTTACCTCTGTCTCTTCCACTTTGATCTGACCCTTTGGGACCAAGCTCATAGTTTCTGGACGCTGTCTCCAAATCTGTCTGGTCTGGTTCTCTGTCACTTCTGTGCAGTCTAGGAATTCTGATGCTAAGTAGGTTGTTACATTTTGCAGTCTCATCCCACTTATGATTTCTCAGTTTCTGCTGTGTTCAGTGGGACACAGATGTGCAGTCCTAGTCAGTGTATCAAGCTTATTGCTTAGAAGACTTTTGTTTGCATTAAAATCACCTGCAGCAAATTAAGCAATGGATTTTCTTGTTCAACTCCCCACCCCCATTTTACTACACGTACTCACAAAAACTGCAGGTATCTCCCCTCTTCTCCTGCCACAGCAGAGAGCACCTCTTTCAAGATGGTGCTTGCTGTGAGAAGTGCATGATTTTTTGTGTGTATGCACAGATGTATGCACCTCCTGATTTATCAAATGAGACACATTCAGTTTTAAAACATATGATTAATTGACTAAGATTCTTTTAAACTGCTTAGTAGCTGTAATTTGTGGTTTCTTTTATCCATTATACAATCACCACTGTAATCAAAGAACATTCCAAGGTGATGTTTATTGAGTAATAGTATCACATTTAAGGTTTTAACGCATCAGAAAGGATTTGCCAATTTGGAAGTCTGGATTCCTATTGGAAAGACATGCATATGCTCTTTCTTCCTTATGTCATCCTCAGTCTTATGCCTCTGGATGGTCTGCTGCAACCCATTTAGTTCTTTGGGATCATTTGCTCCCTGAATTAGATTGGTTCGTTTCATAAAGGCAGGGGGTTTTTTTTGGGAGAATGCGCCAGAACTGAGTTCCAAAACCTTTTCAACAAAATTCCTTTAAAAATGTTTAAAAGTTCATGTGTTTTCAGTGTACAGATTGAAAACTTCATTTCCCTCTTGAAAGTTCCAGCAGCTCTTTAAAAAAAAAAGCCCTGCATAAAGATATTGCCAGCAACCCCAGTGGCTGTAGATCCATGTGTGCAAATTCATGTGCCTATGGGAATGGACATTCTGTGCTGGTAACATGATGGCACCTTTGTAGGCTTACCAAATTCCGGCGGGGGAATTGTATTTCCTGGCAGGAGCCTCGCCGCGGGGACGGCTGCACGCACTGCCCCCGCCATCGCCAGGATGTGACGCTCCGCGTCGCTCTGGCAACGGGGCTGTTTGGAGTCCCGTTGCCAGAGCGACGTGGAGTGTCACATCCTGGCGACGGCGGGTGCAGCATGTGCAGCCGTCCCCGCGGCGAGGCTCCTGCCAGGAAATACAATTCCCCCGCCAGAATTTGGTAAGCCTACACCTTTGTATGCTTCTGGGGTTCTCAGGGACATGAAGTTCTGGATAAGGTTCAGGCTCAGCCCTTTAATACATAGGACTGTATATCTGTAGCCATGTTTTTCTTAATAGCACTTTTTGTATAGGTGTTTATTTTCAAATGCAATAGTGATAAATGAAGAGATACAATCTAACTTAAAATGGAATGTAAAAAAAAGATGATGTGGAATTGTTATTTATTTACCATGCTAATTTATTTTTGTCATTCTCTGCTTTTGCTTCAGAACTGTTCTCCATATTTCACTATAAAACCTTTAATAAAGGAAGTTTCAACAATATATTCAGTAGTGCTTCCTTTTGATAATGCATCTTTATTCCGTTTCCCACCATTCAGCACAGCTGCCTCTGGATAATTTTAACAATGAAAGGGAGGAGGTTCCTCCAGAGTATTCCAAGCACGGTACCCAGAGGTCTAAGCTAAGGCTCAGTTTGCACTTTTTTAAAGAAAAAGTATCTTCTCTCTTCTAATATCGGCTCCTCTAATGAGATCCAGGTGCTGTAATATGAATTTTTTGCCTAAATAATAATACCATCAGAACCCAAACATTAGGACGACTGGAGAATTTTCTGTTAAAAACTTTTACTAGTACCTATACAAAGTAGAGAATAATTTCATAAACTCAGGGTTTCACAAACTCAGGCTTCTGACTTTGTCGTAGCCCAAATATATATTAAGACACAAGCAACTTCACTAGGAATTAAGACCTACTTAGAGGAGCTGCTGCTACTACAAGACAGAACATACCTCTCAACCCTAGTCAAAGCTGAAACTGGAATGCTGCTGGCTGTCAGGGAACCTACTGTAAATTCATAATTTCTTAGCCAGGACAGGCACCATTGATAAACACTGGATGAGTTAGTCTGAGCTAACTCTAGCTAGACCCAGGTGAGGAGTTTAATGGGACTGCTGCAGAGAATGGCTTGCATGTTCCTCTACCGCCACAGTGTCTGCCTTCGTTGATTCAGACTCATCTGGAGAACTTATACTGAGGGCTGGAAGAGCTGAAATAGCTTCCTGCATCTCCACAGGCACAGAATGCTTTATTCAAGATTGGGTCACACAGCTGATTGAAAGGGATTTAGAAATAGTCCAGCTACGGGTAGTAAAATGTGCCTGACTTTCTATCCATGCATTTTTTTTCTCCTGCCCTTCGTCCAAGGAGCTGCCTTTGCCTGGGGTGCATTGCGCACAGACATTTGTGTCAATCCCAGGGCAGGAAACCATTGTGTTAGTGAACCCAAACAATTTCCATCCCTATATGAGCAGCAGGTTTAACCCACCCCCCTTCAATTGCACTGCTACATGTTTGGCACTAGATGGCCTACATCAACCATCTTACCAATGTGAAGATTTAATATGCAATCAAAATCTAACCACAAAATTAGAATCTAAATATCTTCACAGAAAAAAATGAAAGCAATGTCACTTTCATCTTTATGGGAACTGGAGTAGTAAAAATAGTCTTTCAACAGAAGAAAGCAAGCATATTTGAAAATGGGGGATTTTCCTTCAGCATGTAAATATGTTTTACTGGATGGCGAAATCTTACAGTGGAGAGGGGATGATAGATTTCAGCTAGAAATACGGTAGTATTGCATGCTGCGTGATCTAATTCGGAATCTACAAACAGCACCCTATGCACAACCATGTGCAGGAGCTATTATTAAGCCATCATTATGCAGCCATTCAATAGAAGCAGCTATTAATTTCAATATCTGACAGTGGGAGCTTTGACTCTCCAAAGCTTCTACCCTGAAAATCTTGTCGGTCTCCCAGGGGCTACTGGACTTGAATTTAGCTCTTCTACTGCAGCCTAACAGCGTGTCTCATACATCTGAATCTTGCATATGCTCATTCTGAGGCAAGCCCAACTATGTTAAATTGAGGATAAGTTTCAAGTAAGTGTTCATGGGACCCTAGCCTTAAACTAAAACACCCAACCAATCCCATTGAAACCAATGAGCAGGTTTGACAGAAGTAGGAAGGTGCTTTATACAGAGTCAGATCAGAGGTTCATTTAACTCAGTGTTGTCCTCTTCATCTGGCAGCAAAACAAACAGGAATTCTGAGGCCCATAAAAGACAAACTAAAATTTTATTCCAGCATAAACTTGGGTGGACTAGCTAGCATCCCTTTGAAGCAGCACTGTAGGATATTGGGCATGGGTTGCTACTTTCTAAATTCATGCCAAATACCCAAAGTTCTCCTGATATAGGTACATATTTGTGATTAGTACATTACAAATGTAGATTTTACTGATGACAAGGAAGTTACAGCTTTAGGTGTATAGGCTGTGGAACTGAAGCAAATTCCCAATTCTGCCTCTGGCTACTTTCAGGTATTATAGTTAGATTTTTTCATGTGCATACATGTTGCTCAGCATTTGACAGGATGCACAATTTGGGGGCAGTTATGACACAATTTTAAATATTTCAATACTGTTGTTACTACATATGTTTAATATTAATCCTGGGGGGAAACTTCCTGTGCTAGATCAAAGTGGGCAGCCGTGTTGGTCTGAAGCAACAGAACGAAGTTAGAGTCCAGCGGCACCTTTAAGACCAACAAAGTTTTATCCAAGGTGTGAGCTTTTGTGTGCATGAACACGTCTTCAGATACAATGAAATGGAATTACAGATCATAGTTGTATACAGGGCTATTTGGGGGCAGGAACGCACAGGAACAGAGTTCCGGCTGGCTTCAGAGTTGGCCATGCCCACTACAGCCAAAACCTCCGCGTGCGTGGCTACAGAGGGAAGGCCTGGAGAGCGCCCCCCCATGACTCCGAGGCGGGGGGCCCCTGAAAGGATCGGGGAGGCATTTAAATGCCTTCCCTGGCCTGTCCAAGGGCCAGCTTGCCCAGGTTCCCCGCAGATGCGGGGCACCCGGGCAAGCCAAGGGAAGGCATGGGTGTGTGGCGTAATATGCTAATGAGCTGTGCTGTCAGGGGTGTGGCCAAATATGCTAATGAGCTGTGCTGTCAGGGGTGTGGCCAAATATGCTAATGAGCTGTGCTGTCAGGGGTGTGGCCAAATATGCTAATGAGCTGTGCTGTCAGGGGTGTGGCCAAATATGCTAATGAGTTCGTGCTGGGCTTTTTGTACAAA